ACGACACTGCCCCACTGTCTTAGTATCCAGTCTCTACACACTACGACACTGCCCCACTGTCTTAGTATCCAGTCTCTAAAGCCTATACCAAGTATGTTTACTTCCTCCGAACTGTTGTCTACATTTTTAAGCTGTTTAGCATAAATTACCCGCGGTCAGCTGCAGGCTTCAAACCCCCCACCCCATGATCCACAGACGACCCAACTGCTTCTGTAGCTACCCTAAGACACCCACCCGCTCGTGGTGCCTAAGTGCTTGTATCAAGTTTGATCCTGCTAGCTTCCGAATGTGTGTATGAACAAAGTTTCAAATATGGCATTCTCGGGATTCATAGAGAGGCCAGAAACACAAAATCAGAAGCATATTCAGGTTCAGCGACTCTGTAAACTTATTCTTATAATCTCATCATGCAATGGGTAACCTTCTCATTTATAGGAGAGCCATGTTCAAATATGGCATTCTCGGGATTCATAGAGAGGCCAGAAACACAAAATCCGAAGCATATTCGGGTTCAGCGACTCTGTAAACTTACTCTTATAATCTCATCATGCATGGGTAACCTTCTCATTTATAGGAGAGCCATGTCATATAGCTCAGGACACTCCAAGGCAATCCGAGTTCGATTGACAAGTTGCTCCTACTAGCTTCAAAAATGTGGGGGGAGTCTGCTGACAAACAAAATAACAAATTCCCACTAACGTGAATTAACTGTTTTGTTTTGAATTTCGCGCAAAGCTACACGAGGGCTACCTGCACTAGCCGTCCCTAATTTAGCAGTGAAAGATTAGAGGAAAAACAGTTAGTCATCACCACCCACCGCCAACTCTTGGGCTACTCTTTTACCAACGAACAGTGGGATTGACCGTCACTTTATATCGCCCCCACGGCTGAAAGAACAAAATTCGAATCAACGAACCTCAGATTGCGAGTCGAGCGCCCTAACTACATGGCCATGCCAGACCCACGTGAATTAATAACCTATGGTATAATAATAGCCACGTTCTCCTCCCATTTAGCCTATTTTACTCTTACAGCTTCTTCGATCTGCTTTATCTTAAATACTTCGTCGACCCGATCCTTTTTTTTTCTTTAGATATACTTATAGCAAAATATATTCTGTATTATGTAGAAAAATAACTTTAATCTTCACTTTGTTTGTACAATTAATCACCACTAATATCATCTCAGTCCCTGTTTATTATATCATCTATATTCTATATTCAATAAAGCACGAGTAGTTATACGTTTCTATAAAAATTACCTATTTATTAGTGTAGATATGTTGTTGCTTTTCTCATTTTTACAACAGTTAGTAGTTGCTTTGAGGATTGCACCAAAATATACACATTTATAAATATCCACTACCGGCACTTGTGTTTAAAATTTTTTTGTTAAAAATTATAATAAATATAGATTGCAGGAACACAAAAGTTAAATAACAAATAATAAAATAGAAATGTCAGCTATAGCCGAACATGTAAAAACTACCCAACATACAATATTATGGGGAAAAAAACTTTAGTTTTAGCTCAGCCTCGAAGTTTTATATCATTAAATATTAGAGAAACATTAGAAATAATGAAATATAAAAAACAAAACCAAGTATTAAATATAGAAGAAGAACCAGCAATTCAATATGTTGATATATGGTGAGATATATTATATTTGTTTATTATTAACGGAAATATTTAAATAACAATGAAGTAATGCGACAAGGGGGAAAGTATAAAATATAAAAGTTACTCCTGAGGATGACGTAGATCGCGTCGAAACATGTACTTGTAGAAATATTTTAAAGTGGAAGCCGTACGGCTTTTTATTGTGTGAATATAAAACGTTGTTTTTAATTATTTATTATAGTTTTTAACAAAAAATACACATTTATGTTTTACCCAATATGATAATACCAAAACAAAATATCTACACACAACTGCAAATTATACAAACATAATTACTATTGTTAACTTTCGTTACGTAATCTACATGTTTATAAAATTATCGTCAGAGCTCCTTGATTACAGTTGCATGGTATTTCAAGTATCATATCGTTAACGCAAGTATCATTCCTTCTGCTTTTCGACAGTTAGTACAACATTTAAATGATTTGTCAACGTGTAATGTAATGCGTACAAAAAAATGCTTCTTGCGCACACATTTTTAGTTAGCAACTTATTTACTGATATTTTACCAAAATTAATATTTTGATAATTTGAAACCTATATATTTTCTGTGTGCAATGTTCAAGATAAAACATATTGTCTCTAATGGGCAGTTTGCCTTTTAACTTTACGCATTCCTCCCTTATTCTGATAGTTCAAAATCTGAGATAAACATGTATTCAATTATACATCATTTACTGATTGTTTTGTAATTTTCTAATAACCAGGTTTTCATCTTTGTTATACTGTTCAGAAAATAACATATTTGCTATATCAATAATAATTATTATATCACTTATCAACCTAATTAGTTGTTGTTGTTATTTAAAGCTAAGAAATTTGCTTCCAGTAATCTAAATGAAAATTGTGCCACAATCATGTTAATTTGGATTTCAGGGTCAACCTTACCCTGGCTATACGAAACCCCAAATACTATATGTGTTGTTCTGGCTTCTGTATTGATCTTCTACAAAAGTTTGCTGTTGATTTGGGATTTACTTATGATCTATATCGTGTAGAAGACGGAATCTGGGGAGTTTTAGAGGTAAGTGATTACTGTTTTGGTGAAAACTAAGCCTATAATTGGTTTATTACAGTATAAATAATAAGAGTTGAAGAGCGTTTCAAAGAAGTAAAATATAATTGGAAAGTTATTACCCGAATTATTAAATCTGAAACTTCATGTTAAAAAATTATATGTAAATATTTCTTCTGTATAGAAAATTAGGTCAATTATTTTTCAATGTAAGTAGTTAAATATTGACGTGTAAGTAAAAGTCTTCTTATGGTTGTTGTAAATATGTTGATGTCTTTTACAACATAGAAGGCTGAAGGCTATGTGTATGTTTCTTTGGAACACCGTAATTATCCTTTGATGAACAAAGATTATAGTCAATGTCAATGCACCAAACAAAGCATAAGACATTCCAAACCCTTTTCAATGGTGAACAGAGAAAGTTTGGCATATTTTCTCAGCACTTATTCTGATAACTATATTTCATAATGTGCCAGATGCGAAATTAGGTTTGAAAGTTTTTCAAACCATATAAATCATGTGAGGGTTAGATCAAGACACACGGTAGTGTGCCGTACGGCCAAAACTCCTACAGAACACACTGTGTGTTATTAACAGGAGTGATAGTTTAGCAATTTTCCACTTTTTGTAGCTCAGACTGTGGTAATTCAAACTATCATATATTTTCAGTGGATGTGCTCTACTGGACCCTTACTTCACATACCAAATTTCAAGGCAATCCATTAAGAAAATGTATTTGATAAAAACAAAAAGCATACTTAACTTTCATTGTTTTGTTTTTTTCAATTTGGTACCCTGATAGATATTTATAACCTACAATTAGGTGTCAAATGTGGTTTAAAATCAGCTACTTGTACAAAGTTATTCAACAAAAACTGCTCAATTTGACCAAAATGTTTGCGCACGTCTACCAAAAAGTCACGTGAGATATCGGTCTGAAATTTTTACTTTTTTTGTCATTCGGATTAAAGACGACTGATTTATAACAGCAAAACTATAGGGTGAAAGCACCTACAGATACATATGTATTAGGTAGGACAAGAAAACTAGATTAGCAGTTTCTAGTTTAAGTTTGCTTGAAAAAAAAAACATATGTTTGAACTGCTATTATTCACTATTCATTGCTAACTTTTAAGCACATATTTGCTAAATTTTATGAAATTCTCCTAATTAAAGAGCTTTAGCGTCACGTGATAATACTTTAAGTAATTAACGTAAATAATGATGTTTGATACGGCTGTACAAAGTGCATGTCGGTGATGACAAGAAACTGTTAATCTAGTTTCCATGGCGTTACTGTAAAGGAAGTATTAACA